CTGACGAGAGTGGGATTCGAACCCACGCCCCCGAAGGGACAAACATTCTATTAGGTACAGAATTCACAGATCCAAAAACGTATCTGATGTAACAGAGCATGTAAAAAAGATAATGGTATCCACATTGAAGATCGAGTGCTTAGCAGAAGGGAAATTAACAGAAGTTTGTTAACCCATTTTTGTTTCTTTATGCAAGCAAAGAGAAAATGATATTTGCTAGATGCAGAACTTTATATACCATGTAAAAGCTCACTTTATCGTTTCCATGGCACAACGTTAACCATTCATGATCCACTTTAGTAACATCGGCACCAACAACTCGGAGTCCAGCAGCAACTCCATTATAAAATTCACCCCATTCCTTCAGCTGTTTCAGATTCTGTAAATTCCTCTTTTATTTCTTTTTGGAAGCACACATAATTCTGAGTTTACCTCGGTCACTGTGAGATCGTATGTGAGATTAGAGGGATAGATTCTAGCTGATAAACATAAATCAGGTACATGAAGCGGTTCCGTTGGATTTGGTAATACTGTTCTAAAATCAAAAGAAAAATCATAAATGACTTGTCATGGAAAGTACAAGACTTCTACCTTAATTCAAGAAAAGCGCGACCAAATGCTTGAGAAAGATAACGCGTCCATGTAGCTGACAAAAACTGTTCCTGAGCTTCTCTAATTTCTCCATCTGTACCCGCATCTCTATAACCACATATAAGCTAATCTGAGTGTGCTCAGCGAGTAAAGGGTTCAACTTACAGATGTTGTGTGGCTATCAACACCGGTTTTGTACTGTCTAACATAGCACGAACATTATCACGCCGAACATCTCTTGGCCATCGGATTCGCGCAATTTGAGCCATTTCTTCAGGTTGTGGGAACGTTCTATAACGAAAATATATTGAGATTTATTGACAGAAAAAAATCTTTATGCTATTGTCCATGCTTGTCAGTAAGGCCAATATCCCAAAAAAATATTGAATAAAAAAACCAATCAACGGATGAATTTTTCTCAAATTCGCAAGATTTGCAGAAGTGGCTTCTATCTCACCCACCGTCACCCAGTACAGTGGCATCAATGCGATTCTCGGTAATCAAAAGTAGGTTTTTCAAACTTCTTTCTCACGATCTAATGTGTACAACTAAGAAATGGTGCTTAGAATAAGAAGTAGTCAAAGAAAAACTTTTGAAGCAGACCCGACCACCTCCGTAATGGAGGGAGGAGGTGCACCGCTCTACTAAGCTCATTTGGAAAAGACCAAAAACTTCAAATGGTCTTCAGCGATAATTTGAGATAGATTGAAAAATTTTTTACAAATTTCTCGTCTTTGTGCATTTAGATTTATGGTCTCTACAAATCAAGTTTGTTTTGCTCTTTCAGAACTTTTTCGGGATCAACCTTTTGAGGAAAAAGAAAATAATTTCATAATTAGTCGATTTTAGCATATTTTACATCCGAATATGTGACTTACGTTGTTGTTTGTGGTCTTTTGAACTGAAACAACTCGGTAGATGTATGATGCCCAACAATGATGCTGCCAAGAAAAAGTCCTATAGAAGGTGGTAGCTGTTCTATCGTCCAACGAGTGAAGCCAAATTCCGATACAAGGCTGGCACTTCTGAAGAATACAAAAAGAAGTATTTTGTGATTTATCCTAAATCGCACAATCCCACTTTTGCGCAGCAGATGTCGTTGTGCTAAACATAATCTGAGCGATTCGTTCAACCTGCGATGGATCTAGCCGCAAACGTCTTTCCCAGTTCCTGCCCAGTAGCCGATGAACATCTGCCATGAGATTCAGCCGACCAACTCCTTGTCCCACCCCAAGGACTAAAATGACGCATAGATAAGATTCCCAATCAAAGTAGGGATCCACATTCTCACCAGTCAACATTCTCGCCACTTTGCTACTACTTCCAGCTAACGATTGTGTCATAGGAGGTTGTAGAATTCCAGCCACAGCTCTCCATAGCGAGAACGGATTATCCACAGAGAAATTTCGAGTAGGATGAGCATAAGGTGATGGAAACTCATCCGCTGCTAAATAAAGCCAAATTATCAAGTGCCATTTCTACGATTACTGAGTTCTAACTACTAACCTAAGCCATCAGTACGATGTACATGATAGATACAATTTGCGCAGTCTCGAAACTCTTCAGCATAGCGTGAAGAATATGCTGTCAATCCAAGAACGCTAAAAAAACGCCTTACGCCTTCCAAACACTATTAGGAAATACTATTAGAAAATAATTTAGCGTTTTGATTAAAAATGAAGTCGAGTCCAAGCAAGTTTTCGCGCGCAAATTTTTTCTCTTCAATATATCTAATGCACAAGAGTGTCCAAAGATATGCTTCAAATTTGTATCATTATTATTCAACTTTTTGTCACTACTTTTTGAGAGTGAAAAGAGCTAGATGGACGAAAATGTCGAGTTGATTACCCAGTGATTGCCTAGACGGTCAGAAACCACTCCGTCCCATCAAAATCTTGATTATCCATTTGACTTTATTTCATGACAGAATTCTCTCGTTTGAGAAAGGTAATAACTTTTTCACAGCTAAACAGCGTATTCGGACTTTAGAGAAGGTTCACTTTTAAAAAAATCCTACAGAACTATCCGAACGAGTGTTTAAAAGTCGATTAGTTGAAGTTATTGTTCAATCACATAGATCCTTGCATCTTCTAAACTAAAGCAAAAATCTTGCTAGACCGGTCTACAGAATTTCGATATATCACGTGCATTTTTCAAAGCTGACAAAAGTAGCACTTCTCTCGACTTCACAGAGACAGAAAATTATTTCATACAATGCAGTTCTTTAATGTCTGTTTTCTATTTTGACTTGCACAAAATGGAATACCTGGAGACAGCATGCAGATAGTAGACAATCTTCGCCTTCAAGTGAAACAATCCATAATTCAGCGACCATTCCTCGAACATTGCATGAATGGCTCCAACCACAGCATAGATATTCCCATGCAATGGTGCGTTAGAGTCTATTGTGATATCCACATCGACGGGAGTTTTAGCAGTCTCTGCTTCTTCACGTGTAGACTTTATCATCGTACTTTCTCGGAATTTTAGCAATCGATTCCAGTTCTAGAAGCAAAAGCTAAAGGCGTTTATTTCACAATAAAAGCAATAAAAAAATTTCGCTAAAAACTATGTTCCATGATCAGAAAAAGGTGCTCGCATGTAAGAGGATAAGGAAAACTTCAAGGTTACTGTTTGGCATAAATTTCAGCCCCGTGGTTATGATTTACAAAAAATAAAATGCAACTGTACATTTTTAATTCCATTCTTTCTATCCTTCCTCTTTTCTACCTGAAAAAGCCTCCCAGCCTTCTTTTTCACCACTTCATATTATTTGTAAATTTCCGTATCAGGATTGATGCGAAAGCAGCTTGGAAGTTTAAGCTTTTCAATAATGTACTAATTTGCCAAAGACAATTCAGTAAATCTCCACAAGTTCAAGAGTCGCTCTTTCTATAATATTAGTGAAATGTATTTATGAGCCTAAATCCTTCACACTTCAAAAATAAGAAAAAATATTCTGAACAATTTGTGAGAATTTCTTTAGTGTAATAGAATTTATGTTAAATCCGACGAATAACTCAAGCAGCCAATGCAGCTCACCTCTTCAGCAGATGCTTTCGGTCTTCTTTGTTTCGCATCAACTTCACATGATTCGTCTTTAGGAGTAGCCTGAAAAAACCTCTGGTTCAGCACACAGTCTGGATTTTTACTATTCTTTGACCTTTCTCCACGGTAATTTGGGATGATAACCAATCGAGATTCCCGTCTGTTCGAGAACGAAGCGTAAAGCCACATGCAGTTGTGGTTCAGCCACACATAGTTCCAAATCATCATCATAAGTCCTACTATGCGTCTTCCAATGTAACATCAGATGCATTGCTTTTTCTCGTGGTAAAGCTTCCACAAGAGCAACAAAAAGGTCGTTCGCTAAACAAAATCACATAAAAACAACTGAGCCATAAAAATGGAAGATGGTGGGGACCAGTTCTCGTCAACTTACCCAATGGGTTCACAAACATTGCGGGAATTTCAATTTTTGTAAGCTGATTGCCACTCTGGATTACAAAGGATGAGCTATCTGCTGCATGTAACACCATCGACTGGGTCACAGTAAACTAGAAAGTTTACTTTAAAATTTGCAAATCATCCAACAAAATTTACTTACCCTGGGTATGACTGCTACAGCACATTTGGCGTGACCGGAGTAAAAACTAATAGAATTGTCATGTCCAAGCACAGCAGTCATATCTCCACCCTGAGTTAGACTTTTACAAATTTTGGACCATTCATGCTAAAAAAAAATTTGAACCCACCCTCAAAGCCGTAGCATCGCGACATGCTAATATGACCATTGTCCCTGAGGTTGTTATATTGCTAACAGTATGAACAACACGAATAGAACGAAGCTGTCCCAGCGAGCTGATGAAGAAGTTCACAAAATCTTGTGACAGCACATTTCGAGATAGAAACATCTACAAAAATCTAATTCAAGCTGTACCCTAAAGACAATCGCACATAGAGCACACCTTGTTCGAAATTTCACCGCTTGAGTCCCTCTTAGTAGGCTCAGTCCAAACATGGTCAAGGCACAGCTCAGCAAGAAGAAGATCGAAATCGGGTTGTCGCTGCAGCTCGCGACAAAATACTTGGAATCTAGAAACGAATGGCTGAGATTCAAGCTGAGTAGCAGTGCTGCCTACTACACTGAAGTGTAGTCCATCTACAAATTCTATAATCATTGTGTGTATAATAGTTGTGCAGACCCTGATCTATTTTTTATTAGTGAGAAAATTTTGCAACTTTTCCGACTTCTCTAGATTCCACACGCACTTCTCAAGTCTTCTGTCTCCGAAAAACTTACAGGTGATGTGCGAATTATGTGTAACTCATTAGCTTACGATTAGCATTTTTAACTCTCTTGCCAATATTAGGATTAGCGCAAGAGTTCTAGCGCAATCAATGATATTTTTTTCCTATTCCAGCGAATTTTTAAGATCTGAGAGAGCAAAAAGAAACAAAGACGTTCGCGCAGGCAAATAGATCTCAAAAATTCACAAGAAAAGGAGTCTGTAATTTGAATTTTTTCATCTTCTCGTGTTCCGTTACAACTGCGTAGTCTGTAAAAACGCATATTATTCTATTAACCATTATCCCCTCAAAATGCAGAAAAAAAATTAAAAGAATTTTTGGATTCTTTTTGTTTCTTTGGTATATGTCATCTACACATTGATGTGTATTCGACATCAGAAAAAAGCTTCTTTTCCAATGCGGATAAGATTTCGCATTGATAGTGACTTGGAATACTATTTCTGCAGCAGGATACAAACTTTTGTACATATCAAATGATAACTTAAGCAACCCGGAGCCGTTGGCCTTAGCACTTTTGATTTCAAACACTTGAGCTGATGTAAATGAAAGG